CCCCAAAACCCCAAAACCCCAAAACCCCAAAACCCCTATATAAGGAATCACTATTGTATCATTACATAATAATAAAATAAAATAATCAAATAAGGTAAACTTACTAAATTATTAAACCTCACCTGTATTATAGAAAGCAAAATATGTTCAAAGAAGGAAAAATCGTGAATGATAAATATGTCATTCAAAAAAGTATTGGGAAAGGAGCCTTTTCCAATTGATACCTGGCCAGTGAGGTCCCAGAAGAAAACGAAAGCATTGACAGCAATAAAAAACTCGTTCTGAAGGTTAGTAGTAAACCAGAATTTGAGTTTTATAACGAGTTTGTAGTCTCCTCCTCGTTAGAGGACTCTCCACAACTCCTCAACTACAAAGAGCACTCTAGTTTTATTGACGAAAGCGAGGAGAGGAAATACGAATACCTGGTCGCAGATTTTATGCCAAACGGTTCGATGTTTGACTATGTTTCTAACAATGGTTTTGACGAAGACTGTGCAAGATTCATGTTCAAGAGTATTCTTAAAGGATTAGAATCAATGCACGAAAATGGGTATGCCCATCTTGATATTAAACTAGGAAATATTCTCCTCGACTCTAATTATCAGCCAAAAATATGAGACTTTGGCTTTTCTCAAAGAGCTGACAAAGAAAATCTCATGTCCAGCAAAGAATTTGGACAATTTGGGTCAAAGAAATATATTTGCCCAGAAGTGCATTCAGGTGAATTTTTCGATCCTTGCAAGGCTGACATATTTGCTCTTGGAGTGTCTTTCTTCATCCTAATGATCGGAGACTACCCTTTCATGAACCCATCAAAGTCAGACAAAAAATACAAGCATATGTACAATAAAGACCCATCTGTGTTCTGGAGAAAACATGCCAGAGCCAAAAAGAAGATGAACAAGGGCCTAATCTCAAACGAACTGGTCGACCTCTTATCAAGAATGATGGCCCCAGACAGGGACCAAAGGATTTCTATCTCGGAAATAAAAGAGCATCCATGGTATCTTGAACCTTCAATGAACATGTTGAAGGTTAAGGAGTACATGGGACACCTTAGTTCCCTTTAAAAGGGAATAACTTTTTCAATTTCACCATGTTATTAATTTCTATATTATACCTAAAAGTTGCACTAATAACCGAGCTTTTTCTGAAAAATTCCATTTCAATTTTTAAGGAATCTCTAGGGGTTTTGGGGTTTTGGGGTTTTGGGGTTTTGGGGTTTTGGGG